GGGGGTCCTCTAAAGCTCCCCTTACCCCAGAAGTCAGCCACTGCCTTACGGGTGTGGGGGAACTCACTGTGGCGGGAAGGGCGGTATCTGTTGGGGAGCGGCCAACTTGGGGCTCAGGCCGGAGGAGGACGGGTCGGGAAAGAGGCACCCAGCTCAGGGCAGGTTATTTGAGGCTGGGGGAGCAGGGTTAAGAAGGGGACAGGGCACACAGCAAGATGAGGGGACACAGCCAACCCCCACCACCACCACGAGCCTGGCACCCGTGCCGTGCCTGCCTAGCAGAGCCCTGGATCCCAGTGCATCCACGTGAGCTGTGGCCACTGGGTGCCTGTCTCCATGGAGACCGCCCTCCCATCCCCATTTCCTGTTCCTCGCCTCGGAGTGCAGTACCCTCTGCCTCCCTCACTGCACCCCACCCTCCCATGCAGCCCCAGACGACCCCTGTCCCCCCTTTTTCCTCCTGCCTTCCCATCAGGGCCTCAGGCTGGGCCCTCCCCTCTCACGTGCTGCTGACTCATTTGCAAAAAATGCCCAGGGCTCTGGGGAAGGCTTGGCCAGAACAGTGCGGCTTTGTGGAAGGAACTGCGGGCGCTGCACTTTCCCCGCCAAGACCCCACGAGGAGCCAAGCGCAGCCCCCTGAGCCCCAGGCCTGGCTGTGGCAAGAGCCAGGCGCAAGGTGGAGGGAGCCTGGAGGGGCTGTGGGCTGCGTAGCCCTTGCTTCAGGCCTGGCCAGCAGGGACGGCCAGAGCCCTGGGACCCTCATGGCTGAGCCAAACCAGCCACTTACTTCTCTGGGTGACACAAACAGCGTGGTGGAAGCCAGGGGCTCTGGTGGGCTCTGAGTCCTGTGCTGCCTCCAAGGTCCTGCAGGCACGCACGGGCACACTGGCCAGCTCAGAGCTGGAAGAGGGATGACGCGGTGGCCAAACCCCAGAGCAGGGGGGCCATATCTGCACCAATAGCAGCCCGCTGGTAGCTGTACCTGCGATGCACCTGCCAGACAGCCGTGGCAGGCCTTCCCCACGCTGGCTGTCAAAGCTGACCCCGGCAGTGCGCACAGCGGACACCATGTCCCCTTCCCTGCCCCCCACAAACTTTCTGAACGAACAAGGTGATCTGTGCACCATCAGCTCAGCCACGGAGGCTCCCCAACCCCGCGGACCCACAGAGCAGAGAGGCAGCATGGAGGCAGGTAGGCACAGGGCTCTGTCCGCAGGACTGGCAGGCTTGACAGCCACCGAGAGTCAGGGTCCTCCCTGCCTCCACCCATAGCGCCTGGGCCAATCTCCAAGGGCTGCCTGCCCTGCCAGGTGGTACCACCTGCTGCTGTATGGGTGAGGGTGCAGCACGAATCCAGGCTGGACCCCAAGCCCCCAGCTGTGGGGCCTGTCCTTCAGAATGGGCAGAGGGAGACCAGGCAGGTGCTGGCAGGCCTGGGAAGTGTGCCTGCCTCTGTGCCCTCGTGCCCAGCATGAGGATGGTGACAGAGACATGCCAGAGTCTGGGCACAAGTGAGCTCAGCCAGCTTAGGAGGAGCTCAGTGGGTCAGGCACAGAGCCTGTGTTACAACCATGGGTGGGGTTTTTGGTCTCCTGGAAACAGCTGCGAGGTGCCTGGAAGGGAGGCTAAGGGGTAGGCAGGGCAGCGGTCCGGCTGGGAGCAGAGAAACGGAGGCACAGCTAGCCGAGCCCCTCGGGCTTCTGGGGCCAGAAGGTCCCCATGACACCTGACAAAGGAGTCACCTGCATCTACCTATAGGGAAGTGGGGTCCTGGGAGCAGTGCCATCGCTCGCACTGTCGGCCTGGGCAAGCAGCTGGTCCGCCCCACTTCGGCTTCCTCGGGGAGAGGGAGGTGCTGGGGGCCTGGCCTGGTTGCCAGGGGCTATGTAGGTGCAACCCCAACAGGGGAGAGACAGCCTCCACCGGGGTGCGGCTCACGGGTGACCAAGGGCAAACCTACCTTGCCTGCACCACACAGCCACAGAGGCCCCGCTGAAAACGGGAACCGTGACCAGCCACGCAACAGAGGCCCCGCTGAAAACGGGAACCGTGACCAGCCACGCAACAACAGAGGCCCCGCTGAAAATGGGAACCGTGACCAGCCATGCAACAACAGAGGCCCCGCTGAAAACGGGCACTGTGACCAGCCACACACCACGCATCCTGCCACAGCCCCAGCTCTAACCCCAGAGACCCCACAAACACTCAAGGCCCCCTAAGCAAAGGCCATGCTGCAGCTCTAGCGAGGCACCAGGCAGGTGCAGGGGACATGACAGCGCCACACCCGGTCTTCTGGCCTGGGAAGAACAGCAGGGCTCCCTAGACCTGGTGATTCTGAGAGAGGAAGCACAAGAGAATGGTTTACATCTGCTGGCTTACTGCACAAAAGCCCGCCAGCTGCCAGGGCTGGGCTGGGCACCAGCCAGGAGCTGGGAGCTCCATCCAGGTCTCCCCTGTGGGTGGCAGGGAGCCAAGGACACGAGCCGTCGTCACCTGCTGCCTCCCAGGGCGTGCCTCAGCCGGCAGCTGGACCTGGAGACAGAGCCAGAGCGTGCCTCAGCAGGCAGCTGGGCCTGGAGACAGAGCCAGGGCGTGCCTCAGCAGGCAGCTGGGCCTGGAGATAGAGCCAGGGCGTGCCTCAGCAGGCAGCTGGACCTGGAGACAGAGCTCTCCACCACGTGGTACACGCGCTGCTCACCCACAGCCACGCCATGAGATGGCAGGGCAGCCCTAACCCACAGCATTCTGGGAACAGGTGCTAGGAGGCGGCCCCATTCATCTCCCCAACCACGGGAAAGCCGCAGGTGCCACCGAGGCCCAGATGAGGGTGGGAGGCTGCTCGCTGAGGCTGCGGATGAAAGTGGAGGGTGCACTGCCCGGTGGGACGCTGAGGTCTGCATCCAGCCAGGTGCGCCAGGCCGTGGACTTACCAGCCACGGTGCTGCATGCACTAATTACGCATGGTGCCCCAGAGTGCCGGTCCCACGGCTCTCGTGGGCACTGCTCAGTGCAGCAGCTAGACGGTGCACGTGTTTATCCAGGAGAGATGCCACAGGCAGAGGTCCAAACTTTCCAAGGGATTAAAGGGACCATGGTGGAAGCCCAGCATGCTCCCCGATGCTTCCAAAAGCACTTTCTCTGGGCCTGTGCTGTGGTGCCAGAATCCCATAGGGGCACCAGTTTGAGTCCTGGGTGCTCTACTTCCAATCCAGCTCCCTGCTACTGGCCAGGGAAAGCAGTAGAGGCAGCCCAGGTGCTTGGGTTCCAATGGGAGAGCCACAGGAAACTCCCGGCTTCAAACTGGCCCAGCTCTGGCCACGGCGGCCGTTTGGGGAGTGAGCCAGCAGGTGGAGAACGTCTCTGTCTCCTCCTCTGTGAATCTGTCAAAAACAATTTCAAAATTCAAGAAAAGCATTGGTGCCAGGACCTCGGATGAAGCCACAACAGCACTGGTGCCAACCGACCTGCTTCCCCACGTGTCATGGGTACAGAAGCTGGCACACCGGCAGGCAGCTTGGAGAGTAGCCATGCAATGACGGAGGGGAACCCTGGAGGCCACAGGGTGTGCCCAGAGCTCGGGAGATGCTTCACAGCAGCTTGCTGCGACTCCAGCCAAGCACAGCCAGCCAAGCTGAGCACCTGTGCGGTAACAGCGCGGGCAGGAGCAGCCCCAAGAGCAGCAGGTGTGTGTCTAAGCAGTGGCTGGGCCAGGAGAGGGGTGGGCACAGTGGGCAGCAGCCACTCTTGGCAGCTATCCCAGATCCTGGGCTGGGTGGTAGCCCCTTGGTCCACCATCGCGGCTTCTACACCACCAGGTAACCAAGGCGGATCTTTTGTCAGTGATGCCTGTGGGCCATCTCCAAGGACGGGGATCCACCAGGCTTGGAGGGCATGGGGAGACGGGAGGGAGGCCCAGGAAGTGTCCTACTTTAGGACCAAGCAAGCCGTGGCCAAGGACTGGCCCATCCACCACCTGCTTTGCCCACAGAGCGGCTACTGGGGCCTCAGCCACACCCACTTTCTAGGACCCCTCTCCAAGTTCAGAGCAGCTCTGACCTCCCAGGAGAACTGTGGGGCGGGGGGAGAAGCTACAGCCCAAGGTCTCACCTCCACCTGCCAGCCCCAGAGGAACACCCCAAGCAGGTGGGCTTTCTGCTGCTCTCTCAAAAGTTTAAACTTGTCAGAACACATTAAGAGACTAACATTGTAGCATAGCACACTGGGCTACCACCTGCAATGCTGGCAGCCCCCGAGGCCCTGCTCCACTTCCGATCCAGCTCCCTGCTCACACAGCTGGGAGAGCAGCAGAGGATGACCTAAATGCTTGCGCCCCTGGACGCTGTCTCAGGCTGGCTCTGACATGGCCCTGCCCCAGCTGCTGTGCTCCTTTGGACAGTGAGCCAGTGGACAGAAGATCTCTCTCTCTGGCACCTTTCAAATAAGCACATCTTCAGAGCACATTAAGTATGACGTACTGTTAAACAATGGGGGGAGGAAGGGCTGGCCATCATATAACGCCTGCATCTCATAGGGCAGGGCCAGCCTGAGGCCAACCACTCCGTTTTCCAAGAAGTCAGCAGAGGATGGCTCAAGTGCCTGGGTCCCCCCGCCCAACCCACACGGGAGATCCGGATGGAACATGTGGCTCCTGGCTTCAGCGTGACCCAGCCCTAGTGACCAGGGCCATTTGGGGAGTGAACCAGTGGATGGATGTTGTCCCTCACCCTCTTCATTAAACAGTAGGGCTGGCATGATGGCACAACTAGCTAGTCTGCCTGCAAGTACCAGCATCCCATACGGCCCCAGCTGCTCCACTTCTAATCCAGCTCCCTGCTAAAGGCCTAGGGAAGCAGTAGAGGATGGGCCAAGGCCTTGGGAGCCTGCACCTGCATGGCAGACTCAGAAGAAGCTCCTGGCCTCGGACTGGCTCGACTCCAGCCACCGTGGCCATTTGGGGAGTGAACCAGTAAGATCTCTGTCTGTAAATCTGCCTTTCCAGTGGAAAGAGAGAGATTTTGTGTGTGTGTCTGGGGGGGTGTTGGCTTTTTGGTTTGAACGGCTCAGCGGTTTCAGTTCCATCCTTCAGCCCCCAGCTCGGCCAGCAGCTCAGCAACAAATGATGTTATCTCTGGACACTGTGCCCGTCTACCTTGCACGCGCCTCCGTGCGGGGCTTCTCGGCCGAACGCAGCCGGTCCCTGGGCACAGGAAAACGGACTCAGCCGTGGGGTGCGCGGGCAGGACCCTCCCCTCAGACCCCACTCGGGTTCCCGCTTTCATGCAGGAAGCCTTCCCGGATGGGACACCCTGAGCAAGTATTGGGGTACGGTCAGTGTCAACAGGACCTTGGGGTCTTAAAGAGGACAGCACGCACAGACACACAGGTGCCGCTCCCGGCATGGCAGCAGCCGGCAGTGTATTTGTCACGGGGGACTCCCTCTAACACACTTTCTGAAACTCCTGCAAACGTTTCCTGGCTTGATCAAGAAACTGCTTGTGCAGCTTGCTCTGCTCTAGGATCTGCTGCTGCAAGTCGCGGATGAGCTGGCTCTGCAGCTCCTCGTCCAGCACGCTGCTGTCCAGCGGGGATGGGACCCTGCGCTCTTTCTCCTTGGCCGAGGCCGAGCTGGGGGAGGACTTGAGGTGTGCCAGCAGCGCCCGCCTCCGCTCCCGCCTCTCCTCCTCCAGCTCTGCCATGTAGTGGATTTCCAAGCTCATGTCTGGGTGCTTGGTTTGCCCCAGCAATGCCTTCTGCCTCCTCTGCTCTGTGTCCGACTTCAGCCTCTGCCTCAGAGCTGGCCAGCCGCCCCTGTCCGTCTGTTCCGGAAGGTGCAGGTGAGCGCAGTTATCTGCTGGCAGGGCCGGTGGGCCAGGCTCCGGGTCCACCCCGGGAGCCGAGGTCTGACTCTCATCCTGGGCTGCTGCGGGCTTAGCTGTCGGGTGGGACTTGTTGGTTTGGAACAGCACAGGCGAGGACTCCCCGGCAGGCACTGCTTCAGTGGGGACAGTCCTTTCCTGTCCGGCTGGTGACTCTGGCAGCTCTGAGAAGCCCTGCTCTGCACTGCCGGGGTCCTGGTCCACCTCGGGCCTCCTGGGCTCCAGGTGTAGACTGAGGTGTTCTTTCAGCTTCTGGTTTGTCAGAGACAATGCCTCCAGGGCACACTGCAGCTCTCGCTGGCACCTGTTCTTGGCACCATGCCCGCAAGGCAATGCCTGGGGCTCAGCAGCAGCCTCGCTCTCACAGGTGGTGTCGGCCGGGCCCAGCTGGGCGACATCCGTGGTCTTGGCAGCCGCACTGGGACCATGGCAGCTGCTTTCCTGGCAAGTGGAGCCCCTTCCCGGCTGCCTCCGACCCTCGCGAGCCAGGCCTTTCTCCCCTTCTTCCTGATGCCAAAATTCACCCACAGGCGTCAAGACCAGGTGCGGCCTCTCCCGGGTCAGCCCTCTGCTCCCTCGGGGGTCCCCCGAGCGGCGGCTGCTGCTGCTCCTGTTTGCAGGCGCCCGCTTCCCTTTATTCTTCTCTGGGAGGCCCGGGGATGGGGGGCATTGCAGCTTCTCTGAGCCCAGCGATTTCTTCTGGGACTTGGGGTGCCAGCTCCGCGGCTTGGGGGGCTTGGCTTCTCTGAGGTCGGCTTTATGTTTCTTGGCCCTCGGGGGTCTCGGGGCTCCCCGCCAGACTGACTCGACAGCATCACCTGCATCTCCCTCCATCGGCCCTCCCGCCCTGCCCGGCAGCTGTGCCCAGTGCAGCCACTCTGGGTCCCAGGCCTGCTGGGGCGCCACATCTTGCCACAGTACCCTCAGCTCTTCGGCCAGGCGCTGCAGCTGCTGGATCCCAGCACCTTTTTCTCTGGCCGGCAGCAACGTGCGATTCTGCCACGAGAGCGAGGCATCAGCGTCAGTGTCTGGGACGGGCTCGGTGGTGGCAGGGCTCGGCTGAGCAACTTGCTCCCCGTCTCTCTGCATGTGTGCGAGCTCTGTTGGCCGGGGCAGGTGGTAGCAGCTGGAAGCAGAAGCTTTCGGGGGGCCCCAAGGGATCCAGACTGTCTCACGGCAAACCTGTGGGGATGGAAGGACGGACAAGGCTTCCCAGGGCATCCTGACGGCGCACGGGCTTCCGGTGCGGCCCGAATCCCGCCTGCAGGGTCTGTTCCACCTCCCCCTGAAGGGGACCCAGCAGGCAGTGGCTATTGAACAGTCTGCACAGGCCTTGCTGGAGCCTCCTGGTGAGGTCTGCAGAGGGGGTGCTCCAGGGTGGTGGGGGCAGAGATCCTGCCAGCATCCTGCGACACACAGTACAGCCCCTGGACACTGCCGGCCCTGAGAATCCCACCCAAGGATGCTGGGCAAGGGAGCTGCAGAAGAGCAGCACCTGGAGGCAGATCTCAGGCAGCGGGAGGGAACTACCTAAAGGATGTGCCTATCTCTGTCTGCATGTGTGTCTGTGTGTGCACACAGCACGTGAGCTGTGCATGCATGTCAGTGTGTGCACACGGCATGTGAGCATCTGTGCGTGTCTGTGCGTGCACACGGCACGTGAGCTGTGCATGCATGTCAGTGTATGTCACGGCACGTGAGCATCTGTTTCTGCATGCGTGTCTATGTATACATGAACGTGGGCCCACATCAGGCACCTGTCACTGCCCTGCCCTTCTCTTCTACAGGGATGACCTACGTGTTGTAGTTCTGTGTCCTTACCATGGCCCAGGCGAGCTGCACAGGCTGCTCCCCAAGCCCTCCAAGGCACCAGCATCACAGTAACCCTGTGAGGTCACACAGCTACCATCACCCGCAACTGTACAGATGGGGGAACTGAGGCAGGGAGACACCTGGCAAACAGCAGAGACCATTCCTCTGTCCTGGGTGGACCACGGTGCCTAACAGCCCTGGCTTGCCTGTGCTGCTCTCTGCTGAGTCCGCTGGAGGTAGGTGACTGCCCCCTGTGCCAACCAGACCACTCACAGAACCTCACTCAGAGCGATCGGCAACCTGTGCCGTCTGCCTCTCACTGTGATGTCCCGGGACTGGGGCGGGGCGGGGGTGGGGAACTGGGCTTGTCACACAGTGACAGAACTCGCACCAAAGTGGGAGGCGGCCGGAGAACACTAGACATACAGGGGTCCAGCCCCTCGTCCTGGAAAACAGACATCAATGCAAAGCTGGAAACTACCGATGCTTAGGAAACACAAAGGCACAGACCAGCAAAGAAACGGGCAGCTGGCAAGTGGCCAGAACTAAACTGCGTTAGCATACCAGGAGTGCCGTCTCACAACCAGGCTAGACAGAGCCACCGTTCCTCCTGTCACAACGAGTGCCAAGGTTGGCACACACATCCCACCAGAGGAGGGAGCCAATGCCACGACAGCACAGAGAAAGCCGCCACTGGGGAAAGGCCCACGGAGGCTACAAGATGTGTCGGATGTCCACATGCACGGCTCCAATCGCACGAGAGGGGACGGTGACAGGTGCTGGGCAAGGAGGTGGAGGGCTCTGAGGCCAGCGGGCATGTCGGCATGTGCAGCGGCTGGGGAACACAGAGCAGCCTTGGAGAGGTAGACCTGGGCCCGCCAAGCGACCAGGACCTCCACCCTGCGTCTACATCCCTAAGATGTTTGCATCCACACACACACACAGAAGCAGGAGTGGCAGGGCATGAGCCCCTGGGGAGCTGGGCTCAAGCTCCTGGGTGCCCAAAATTAAGACTTAAGATGTTCCCCCCAGTGGAACAGCTGGCCACAAGGGCGTCTAGTAGGTGGGAGGGTCCAGGTTCTCAAGCAGGACCCTCTGTCTGGCTTGGAAGACAGCTGGCAGGAATGTACCCAAGGTCCAGTCACCTGCACCTGCCACCATGGGGCTCACGCCTGCAGCCACAGGCTCCCACCAGCCTTCTCCCTTGTCGTCTACACCTGCAGCCATGAGCTCACGCTTGCCTTAACCCTCTGTGAACACCAGCGGATCCTGCAGCAGCCCTCCAGCTCCCGACGACCCAGGGCTACGCCCGCCACAGAACCACAACATGGAGCTTTCTGGAAACTCACAGATAAAAACAGATGACGCCTGGACAGAGAACTTGGGAGCAGAAAGCCCAGGAAACCCACAGTCAGCTCACAGTTCTGACACCCACGTGGCCTCAGGCGCTTCTGGCACAGGTCACCCTGGGAGCAGGTCACCCTCGGAGCAGAGGCAGCACTGCAGGCTCCTGGGACGTTTCCCAGAGGGGACCTTTCCAAGACAGACTGCTGGAGCCCTGGGCGGGACACTGGCCAAGGGACCTCTCTTTATGGGTTTCCACCACTGCTCCCTGGAAGCCTGCTGGACAGGCCAAGTCCCGGAGCTCCTAAGGCCCTCCCGCCCACCCAGGCATCTCTAATGCCAGGGTCCTCTGCCCCTTGTGCCCTCCCCGAGCCAAGGACTGCTTGTGCTGGCCACCACCAACCACAGTGCCAACAGGAGCCCTGCAGAAGGCAGGGGGCAGGGCACCCGTGCGGCCTCAGCACTGGGTCCCCTCAGCATCGAGCGGACACTGGGACCATTCCCTCTCTCACACACACTGGGCGGCTACAGCCAGCGTCTCCTGGGCAGGGCTCCCATCCACGTAAGACAGGAACGCGTCAGGGCCCCCAGCCAGCTCTGGGGCCCCCTCCCCCATTAAAGGCCATCCCACGGCGTCTGGGTGGCCGGGGCCAAGGACGCCCGACACAGGCCCAATACAGCCTGAGGACAATGAGCATGACAGCTGGAGGCTGCAGGAGGGGCCTGGAGAACTCACTGTCCAGTCCCAACCAAGAAAACCACACCCTTGGGCTGATGAGGCCAGCACTCGGCTCTCTCACTGGTATCAGCACCGTGAGGCTGCCCACTCAGGTGCACTGGATGGAGCTGCAGTCTAAACATCACACATGCCTCCCAGGACCCCACAGACTGGGGCTCACCGGCTCACCCCAGGTCTGGGGGGAGCTGGGGATGGTGGCCTGCTGCACCCCACTCCAAGAGGCAGGCAGTCACAGAGCTGGCGCTGCAGCCCTCCAGCAGTGGTGGGGTCAGCCGCCACCATGCCCACCATGGGACGGCCCGAGTGCACCCATGTGGGAGACCCGGATGAAGCCCCTGGCTCCGAGCTCGGGCCACTCACTCTGGGGACTGAACCAGGGGGTGGGAGCTTTCTCTAACTCCTTCAAGTAAATAAAACAAACTCTTCTAAAAACAACACAGAAATGGCAGTGTGGGGACACGGGGCTCCAGAGAGCAGCAGCTGGGGTTTCTCCCTCTGAAGCCCTGGCCCTTTCTAGGGTGCCAAGTCAGGGCATCCCTCACACACGGGGCCAGGCCCGACAGCGGCTTCTCCAGCTCACACGGGGTCCCAGAGTTCAGCCAAGGAAGGCGGCAGCAAGGGACGGCAGGTCCCATGTTCACGGGGCTCGTGGGCAGACGCTGTCTGGGGGACGGCCAGGGTCACGGTGAGACCACCACCGGAGAGGAGGACTCAGCAAGACAGGGACCAGGCCCCCTCACACATGAGACCCCCACACAGGTACGATGCAGTGCGGGACAGCGTGCTCCAGGACTGCCCAGAGAAGGGCCGGCTTCAGCCGAGGAGCCCCGGGGCGGGTGGGGTAAGGAGGTTTATAGGGCACGGAAAAGTCTAGAGCAAGACCTGGTGCCGTGACAGCAGGTAGAGCTACTGACTGTGGTGTGCCATTCCCTATGGACACCAGCTCAAGTCCCGGCTGCCCCACTCCCCACCCAGCTCCCTGCTAAGGCACCTGGGAAAGCAGCAGAGGCTGGCCCCAGCGCTCGGCCCCGCACCCCCAGGGGAGCCCCACAGGAAGTGTCTGGTTTCAGTCCAGCCTTGCCCTGGCCACAGGGGTCATCAAGAGAATGAACCAACAGATGGAAACCTCTCTCTCTTCCTCTCTCTCCTTCCCTGTAACTTTCAAATATACTTTTTCTTTCTTTTTTTAAAGAGGAAGTCTAGGTCAGGCTGGCGTGGTAGTGAAGGGAAATAACCAACAGTGTGACCGAGGGCAGGCTGCCCTTGGCCTAACCGCGACCTCTGTGACTCAGGCAGCCTCAGTTTGCTCATCTGTAGAGTGGGGCTGGCGACGCTCAGTCCCCACCGCCAGGGGGTCAGGGCTCCTCCCGGCAGCAGCAGGCTGGGTGGGGGTACTTACTGTGTGTGTCTCGGGATGACCGCGCTAGACCGCGGAGCACACATTACAGGGGGGCAGAGGTGGGCCCGCTGGCGGGAAGCGCTCTCTGCCGGGCTGTCTTGAAATCATGGGGCAGGCAGCAGACGCCCATCCCTGGAGGCGTGCGAGCCACGCCCAGACAGAACAACCATCAGAACCACATGTGCTGCCCAGCGGCACGCCCCCCCCACACACACACACACTGGAGCAGACTGGCCTCAAACACAGAGCAAGGGTCCTGCCGGCCCAGCAGGGGGCTCACCAGGACATGCCCAGGCCCTGCCCAGGCCAGGGGCTCCTATTCCAGCAGCCCTCCCACCTCCAACCCCTCCTCCTCCAAGTCAGTGCCCCCTGCCCTTTCAGAACAAACTCCCTGCAGGGAGCCCGTGGGGCAGGGTCAGTCTAGAGGCCCCAAGGACCTCCTTAGCAATGTCACTGTACCCCCAGAGGGGGGAGGGAAAGAGTCCCCCCTCCCCAAGACACGCCAGGTGCCCCCACCGGGGCCTCAGGGGTCCACTGACCACGGCAGCCGGGATCTCCCTGCCCCTCCCTTCACCTGAAGCCCAGCACCTGCCCCTGCTGCCTAACTGTGACCAGCGTGGCCATGGCAACGGCAGAGCCACTGGGCTGTGACATCATGGCAGGGGCAGGGTCACGGCCAGCAGCCAGCCAGCGGGCCCACGGTCAGGCCAAGGCTCAAATGGCAGCCAGGCGGCTGCCGCAGAACCTCAAAAGGAAACGGGGGTCACGCAGTGTGACAGCTCTCCCCCACCCCACAAGTGCTCCCCACCGCCCCTCCTGCACCAGGGAGAGCATCGTCCTGGGCCCAGGCCGGTGCTTCTGTTTCCATGGAGCCAAGTCGTAGCCAGGTGCAGAGGAAGAGGCAGCCTCACTGCCCTGCAGGCCTGACTGCCAGCAGGAACATTCAGTCTGGGAAATACGACAGAGCTCCCGCCAGCCCTGGTTGACAGGTCGCAAGGAGAAAGTGAACAGCACGGATGTGGCTGACCGTACAAGGAAGGAAGTCGGGATGGCTGAGCAGAGAGGGGCCTTGGGAGCCACTGGACACTCCCACCCACTCACTGGGGCGTCATCCTTTCTGGCCCTTGGGACAGTAAAGCCACCGCCCAGCTATCCGGGGCCAGGCGCCCCCTGGGTGGAGGGTGCCCCCAGGGTGGAGGGTGCCCCAGGGTGGAGGGTGCCCCAGGGTGGAGGGTGCCCCCTGGGTGGAGGGTGCCCCAGGGTGGAGGGTGCCCCCTGGGTGGAGGGTGCCCCAGGGTGGAGAGTGCCCCCGGGTGGAGGGTGCCCCCAGGGTGGAGGGTGCCCCCAGGGTGGAGGGTGCCCCAGGGTGGAGGGTGCCCCCTGGGTGGAGGGTGCCCCCAGGGTGGAGGTGCCCCCTGGGTGGAGAGTGTCCCCAGGGTGGAGGGTGCCCCCAGGGTGGAGGGTGCCCCAGGGTGGAGGTGTCCCCAGGGGTGGAGAGTGCCCCAGGGTGGAGGTATCCCCAGGGTGGAGGTGCCCCCTGGGTGGAGGTGTCCCCAGGGTGGAGAGTGCCCCCAGGGTGGAGGTGTCCCCAGGGATGGGCAAAGAACAGCCTGAGCTGAAGCCAATCGGTGTGGCTGCAAGAGAGGAGGCAGCCTTCTCTCTCTGACCCTCAACTTGAAGCCCTAACCCCCGCTGCCCTGGGTCTCTGGACCACAGCCACATCACCAGCTCCCCAGGGTGCAGGCGGCACGTATCCACCCACAGCCACTGCTTCTACCGACCAGCACGGCCCCACAGGCAGATGCCAAGTCTCAAGTCCACATCCTCCATGTGGGCCATCCCCAAGGCCCAGAGCCTCTCCGGTCCTCGACCTCCGGGCAACAGGACGCCTCGGCTGGCCATGGCCCCCACACTTCCTCCTGCAGAGCTGCCACACTCAGCTCTGCCCCACTGCTAATTCACATGAGCAAAGCCAGTAGGATGCAGCCAGGCCCGCAGGGTCTGGTCTGTAGGCAGCCAACTCCCGTGAGTCCTAGGGTGGGCATGGGGCTCCCACAGCCCACAGCTGGGTGCCCAGTTCAAGTCCCACCTCTGGTGCTAACACCCTGGGAGGCAGCAGACAAGGAGGGCTCCTGGCGGGAACCCAAATGGAGTTCGTTCCAGTCTCCTGGCTTTGGCCTGGCCTGAGCCCAGCCACTGCCAGTATCTGGGGGTGTGTCAGTGGACGGACAATCAATCTCTCTCCACCTGTCAAATAGATGAAAATAAACACTTAAGCCACATATTTGAGGCTAGTGCTGTGGCGTACCAGCCTAAAACTCCTTCTCTGGTGCTGGGATCTCATCCTGGGCACCGGTTCTAATCCCGGCAGCCCCGCTTCCCATCCAGCTCCCTGCCTGTGGCCTGGGAAAGCAGTGGAGGACGGCCCAAAGCCTTGGGACCCTGCACCCGCGTGGGAGACCCAGAAGCTCCTGGCTCCTGACTTTGGATCGCACAGCTCCAGCCGTTGCGGCCACTTGGGGAGTGAATGAATGAACAGACAGCAGATCTTCCTCTCTGTCTCTCCTCCTCTCTGTATATCTGATTTTCCAATAAAAGTAACACAAATCTTTAAAAAAGAGAATTGGCCTACACAGTGCCACAGGGGAAGCCCAAGAAACCAGGGTTGCTAACTTGTTGCAAATGCAAGAGCAGGCTGAAGCCGCCTCCCCCTCCAGAGAAGCAGGGCCGAGATGAATGGCCCGTGACTAATGCCTCACACGTGTACCTAATTACATCCCGGGGGAGGGGGACAAGAACACCAGATCAAAGAGATTTATTCTCCAAGTCCTCCTCGCTGGCTCACACCTGCCAACACAGGTGTTAGCAGAGCACAGCACCCAGGGCCAAGCCACCAGTGACCCACAAGTCTTCCAACTAAACAGGACAGAAGGACTTGGCCCGCAGCTACGAAGCCCTCCCTGCCTGCGTCCAGGGACCCCGGTCGGGAGCAGCCTCCTCCGGTCCTGCAGTGGAACTCCATGGCTGACCTTGTCGGACAGGGTCCCCATGAGTAAGGAGTGAGGTTAAGCCCCTTGGCACTGACAAGCCCCAGGCAATATGTGCTTTGTCTGTTTTTAAGATTTACTTGTATTTGAAAACCAGGGTCACTTCCCAAGTGGCTACTACGGGCACGGCTGGGCCAGGCCAAGACCAGAAGTTTCTTCGGGGTCTCCCACAG